CTGGTGAGGAAAGGGTTAAATGCCGAACCTGGCCAGCTAGTTAGCTGACTGGAAGGGGCAGGACTATAAAAACACTGGGCAGAGCGGGGGTAAGGGGGACAGCAGCTGAAGGGGAAGGAGTGCCTCTGAGAGCTCCACAGAGAAGCTGGCTGAGTGGTCCAAAGGCGGGAACTACAGAAGCTGTGGGGAGACAGCAGCCGCACCACAGCAAGGACCGTAGCCGACGGCAGAGAGCTGAAGCACGAACCCTGTGAATGTAAGCTGACCTGCTGCTTTGCTTGATCGTATTGGTTGGTGGCAGTTGTTATTTTTTCCTTTTTTTGATTATGGAATAAGGCCAGTGGCTTGGGTGAGGCTATTAGGGGATGGAGGAGGCCTCATAGGGGACCCACGGCAGCATGAGGACCCTGGTGCCAGAGAGGGCGCAGCACTTTGCAGGGCTGTGGAGAGCCCGAGCGCCGTCGAAGGCGCAGAGCGAGACAGAGCTGCGGAGAGCCCGAGCGCCGTCGAAGGCGCAGAGCGAGACAGGGCTGCGGAGAGCCCAAGCGCCATCGAAGGCGCAGAGCGAGACAGGGCTGCGGAGAGCCTGAGGAGGACCAGGGGGCCAAATTGTAACAAGGCCCAACACCGGAAAAGGCTAGAGCCCCGGAGTCTAACCCTGTTTGGTGGGTTTTAGACAGGGAGGCTTAGCTAGAGAAAGACAGGGGTCAGGCCTGTGTAGGTGGAAGACCCCAACATACAAAATACAATAGACAGTCTCCTGCCCGCAAGAACATCAACAAGAACTTCCATCAAGATGTGGCAGGCGAGTAGAGGGCGGGACATAAGAACTCCAAAGAAGACTCCAAGGAAGCCCCATGTAAGGCACAGATAAACAGGGAAGATGGCACTGGGAAGGGCTACCTGTTACAGGATGCCATGAACAGAATAGAAATATCTACTCTGGACACCAGTGAATGAACACTCTCCGTATCCAATAAATATGGATTTAAGATTTAGTAGAAATAGTTTTAAAACTAGGAAAGAAGGAATTCTTTAGTTTTTAGAATTCAGCAGAAAATGATAAGTATAAAAATAGTCAAGCAACAGAACCAGGGGACATATTGGTTTAGATCAGCGGTGCTCAAGCTTTTGGCCCCATGTGCCAGATGAGTGACATGTATGGGTCTGCAGGCCATATTGAGCCTGGCATGCCAAGATCAGGCCGTGGGGCCCAGCACTGTCTCTGCATGCTGGGATCAAGCCCCAGAAGCCTGGCATTGTCCTCTCCTGGACCTTCAGACTGGGCTAGGGCCCTGTGTCTCAGCACTGCCCCCTTCTAACCCCCCACATGCCAGGATTGGACCCTGGCCCTGCTCTCACCCAGCCCCACACACTGGGATCAGGTGCCTGATCCAGCACACAAGGCCCACAGATCTGGAAATTTGGCAGCAGAGGAGTGGTGCCACCACTCTCCCATCACATTTCCAGACCAGTGGGGAGCACAAGGGCTGGATGACCTGGCATGGTGGGCCAGATCTGCCCCCCAGACTGGGATTTAAGCTCACCTGGTATAAATTAAGGACAGTCTAAATTAGAATCAGAGCTGCCAAAACAGAAAAAAGATGAACTGTATGGCATACTTGAAGTAACAAGGTAGCCAAATAAATATATAATAAGCTATAATTTGTATGCTGTGTTACCCACCTCTGGGTGTTTGCGCCTCATGTGCCGGCTCATTGAAGCTCTAGTAGAAACCTTTGTCCCACAAAGCTGACAACTCTGAGCTTCCACCTTATCATGAGTTAGTTGGATGTGTTTCTGAAGCATGTAATCAGTGACATATTTCTTATCGCAGACTGAGCATGTCCACTGTTTCCCTACTGACAGCAAATGAAAAAAACCATTAGCATCTAGCTCTCAAAGTGAATACTGTAAAGCTGATTTCCACTATTTCAGAAACTTGGTCAGTTCCTTTAATAACATAGTGAAAAAGCTAATCCAGTATACCAAGGACAGACTGGCAAATTGTTGTCTTTGAAACTGTTATTGGAGAGGATTTACCTGTATGAATCAGTTTATGAGTCTCCATTGTGTTTCTTTCACTAAACGTTTTCCCACAAAGCTCACACATGAAATCTTTGATCCCTGTACGGACAGAGAATATTTAATCAGAACAAAAACAATTAAAAGTATTGGGACAAGTGGGAATCTTTACTAAAACAAATCATTCTCACTGGTCATTTTTATTCCCCAGTTGTGCCACTGTTTGCAAAAGCACTACAGGAAATACAACCTGTGAAGAAGCAAGTGCCCTGAGTAAGATTTAGCTTTGCAGATTAAAGTTCAAAACTTAATTCAAGACAAAAAGCGTACCCAACACTTAGCCTATAGTCAGTGGTCCATTTAAAAAAAAAAAATCACACAGCATGAGGCCAAGGTGTTCCTACTTTTGGAAACCTAGTATCCATATTCCTTTTAAACTGTATTCTTTGTGGTCTCACGGTTTTGAGTATAATTCTTCCTGAAATGTCCAAATAAAGTTTTAAACACCCCCCTGCCCCATTTAGCTAATTCAGTAAAACTTCCACAGGACAATGGGTCCTTGGAGGAGCTCTCACCTGTGTGCCTTTTGTAGTGCTTCAGCATATTGACTTTCTGTGCAAATTTCCGATGGCATTCCTTGCATTCGTATTCTTTAATCCCCTTGTGGAGCTTCATGTGATGACGTAGAGCATGTTTTGTCTTCATTCCTTTGAGAGAGAGAGAGAGAGAGAGAGAGAGAGATCTTGCTAAAGGCCTGATACAAAAATACGGCCACGTTCTCCACATGTATCCCTCCTCCAATGGGCAGCAAGACAACTCAGGACAAGCATGTTTCAAGGAAATGGTCCCCATTTGGTTTCCGGTAGAATGTATCACCAAATGCTTGTTTTTAATAATTTAGCTAGAGGTACACTTTTATGGGTGCTTTTGTTTCAAATTCTCCACAAAACCAATGAAAATCATTTGAACAGATATTCAAATTTGGTCAAGTTATAAAGAAATGTACATGTATTCCAATTTAATAATTATAGCAATAATTATGCTTTTTAATTTTAATAAGTGTACTTATTCCAATTGCTAACACTGAAAAATCACCCTAGAATGTAACAGTTAAGCTGTGATCTTTCTGGCTCTTTCTTGAGCTGAAAGTGGGATGGGGACAAACACTCCTCAAACAGCAGAATGACAGATACAAATCTTTAAAAATCAGACTGAAGACCAAGGAACTGAGGAATATAAAATTAAGGGAGAGCTTATGTGCCCCTTGATCCTGAGCAAAGTGTTCAAAGTGCAGGACTCCTTTCACCATGAGTATCTCCTATCTCAGCATTCAGTGTTGGTGTATTTTTTATTATGATAAAAGGACATGCATGGAGTCTCAGAGAAATGGAAAACAAGGGAATGGCTATACCTTTACCACATTCTGCACACAAGTATTCTCGGATGTTATCATGGACTCTCATATGCTCTTTTAACATGTCCTTTCTGGCAAATGATTTACCACACTGCTCACAGGCATGGCTTTTTACACCTTAAATAAAAAAAAACAACCCATTAATATAAAACAAGATCCCTGGTGGAAAATATGTGTATTCCTAAAAGCTGACAAATCTCTGGCAATAGACTCACTGTGGAATAACCCAACTACTGAACAGTTTTTTGTATATATTCTGTGTCCCAAAATTTATTATGAGATATAGGCAAGGGAAGTAATATAGGTTTTTATAAGATCCAAAGCAAGAATAAGGCCAAAATATACAAGTTAACCTTAGAGCAGGCTCTGACAATAAACTGTAAGTAATGCTTTTTCATCAATAATGCTGAGATTTTTTTTAAGTATAGAAGAATGGTTTTGAGGGAAAGGAGTAGAAAGGGCAGGAGGATGAAGATAAAGAGTTAGAATAAGCCCAAAGAAATTTACGAAAACCAAAGACCACATTTGAACTGGATTCAGAAATGAGCAACGGGGACAGAATAAAGTGGATTAAGGATGACATAATGCAAGTAATCGGCTATGGCATTCTGCTTGTGCTGGAGAAAGGAACTGGCACTTTGGGAAATCAGCATGGATAGAAGAAACTGCAGTTCTCCAGGTGACAAAGAAATGAAGGCATGGATGAAGATTTCAGTACTGATGGACTACAAAGTCAATATTTTACTGGATAAAGACTTTGTTATAACATCACGGCTCTGCTATTATTTACTTTCCTCAAAACTATTTGGCGGAGAAAACTGGCTTGCCATGAAGCATAAACGTTGCAATGTTAATGTTTTTTTGTAATTTTATTTATTAATTAATCGAACTAATCAAATAACAGATGTGACATATAAAGAGATATCCATTTCTCCTAAAAAGATATATGAAGACACTTATCTTCCACCAACGGTGCTCCCTTAGCCCAAGTCAATGTCCACAAGTGTCTTGCATTGTATTCTCTTCCTTTCAGTGTCTGAGAGTTCCTTTATATTTCCATTGACATTAAGCCTTCATGTTTCTATTATATAATAATTCACACCCTCTTTTCCCTTAGAACTCTGCATAATACAAATGTCACTATCTTCTGCTCATCTCCGATTTTAAATTTATTTAAAATTCGTTCTTAAGTGCTAGCTCACAGATCCTATACTTTTCTTCAGTATTCAAAACAGTTCCTTACATTTTCTGGTTTAGATGCCAGGGATATTTCTTTTTCTTTTTTCTTTAAGCAAATTCCAAAAATGCCTATCAAATTTCCAAGTATCTTTTCCTTCTCTTCTACAAAATACTGATTTCCGTTATAAAACTTCCCAACCTTTTTGAAACTAGGCAGCTATTTTAGAGGTGTCACTTCTCTTCCATGTTTTTGCAATTTTGATCCTTTCAGTCACTAAAAGATAAGTGATCAATTCCTTAAGATTTTTACGTGTAACTTTTGTTTCATAGTTGGTAGGACTGGAAGGGACCTGAGCAGATCAAGTCCGACCCCCTACCACGGCAGGAAAAAGTACTGGGGTCAAACGACCCCAGCAAGGTGTTCATCCAGCCTCCTCTTAAAGACCCCCAGGGTAGGAGCCAGCACCACTTCGCTTGGAAGTTGGTTCCAGATCCTAGCCGCCCTGACTGTGAAGTAGTGCCTCCTGATATCTAGCCTAAATCTACCCTCTGCCAGCTTGTGACCGTTATTTCTTGTCACTCCTGGTAGTGCTCAGGGAAACAGGGACTCCCCCAATGCCTGCTGGTCCCCCCGACTAGTTTTTAAACAGCCACTAGATCCCCCCCTCAGCCTTCTCTTGTGGAGGCTGAACAGGTTCAGGTCCCTTAACCTCTTCCTTAAATCTCAGCATCTTGGTTCAAACTATACCTGAACTAACCTCAGGTCTTTCCCTTGTATCAGAAATGGACTCAAACCAAAATCTTCGATTCAAATGCCATTAGAAAAGTTCAGAACTATCTCTGTAGCCTGGGCTAATTCGAATTATACCCATTTTGTTGTACTGTCAGGATGGATCAATAGGAACACTAAGGAGTTATCTGAGTATTGGCATTCTTATTTTCCTCATTATATTTCCATCCTTCTTCCAGAACAGTTTCATTCTAGGACACATCCACCATAGGTGGTAGAATCTTCACAAGACTGCACTCCCTACAACAGTTTCCTGCTCCTGTACCAAAAATATGTTTAATTTTAAGTGTGGTGCGAGAAATTTCATAGATGTTAGGGCTGGAAGGGACTTTGCAAAATCATTGAGTCCAGCCCCCTGCCCAAAAGGCAGGAAGTAAGCCGGGGTTAGATGACCCCAGCAAGGTGAGCATCCAAGTGTTTCTTGAACCTATCTAGAGTAGGTGCTTGCACCACTTCTGAGGGGAGTCTATTCCAGACTCTGGAGACTCGGAGAGTAAAGAAGATTTTTCTCATGTCCGGTCTAAAATGGTCTTCCAGCAGTTTGTGACCATTAGACCTCGTCATCCCTTGGGGTGCCCTGGTGAACAGATATTCTCCGACCCCTTATATACTTATAAGCTGCCAAGTACCCGCCGAGTCTTCTCTTTTCCAGGCTGAAGAGCCCCATGCCTCTCAGCCTCTCCTCATAAGGCCTGCTCTTATGAGGAGACTTTTGACCGCTAATCATGCGCATGGCTCTCCTCTGGACTCTCTCAAGCTTCTCCATGTCCCTTCTAAAGTGTGGAGACCAGAATTGGATGCTATTACTGATATAGGATGTATTATTTTAAAATTTTCTTCTATTATTGTGCAGATGGATCTGAGGATCATTGTTGCAAATGGTCTCTCTTTCTTCAGCACTAATTTCTGATCCAATGTCATTAACCCACTTTGTCATAAACAGAGTTTTTTCTTTTGTATGACTATTTAAAATTACTTCATATAACCCAGACAATATGGGTTTCATAGGTGTGACCAACTTTTTTTCAGTTCTGTTAGATTTATACTGAGTTTTACCCAGTACCATAGTAAGGTGGAGGCAGTGAGCAGGGCAACTGCTCCAGGCATGGAAGCGAAGGGGTGCGAACAGGTGCTGTCTAGCCAGGCCGGGGAATGGGGTGGAGCCATAAGTGGCTCGTTTGCGGGGGGGTGGGGGCGGGCGAAGGGTGGCTCCTGCCACTGCATACACTCCCAGGCAAGCATGGGGCGCGGTGGGGTGCCCCCCGGATCTGTGCACAAGGCGGAGGCAGGCTGCCACTGTGGGCTTGCCTCAGGCGCCAAATTTCCTTGCTATGGTACTGGTTTTACCTTTCTTTGGGAATGTGTTGAAAAGTCTTTCAATTGCAGGTACTGGAAAAAATGGGATTTTAATGTCACCCACGGTACACCATATTTTGTCAAAAGCTCCATTTCCTTTGAATAATTGTCAGAATCTTTTATTCCCATGTGTTCCCAAATATTAAAGCTTCCTAATAAATTACTAGGATTAAATTCTATATTGTTATGTATAGGTGCTAAAGGTGATGGTTCTGAGTTTAATTTTTAGGTTATCATTGTTCTCATAAAGGGGAGATTATATATTGAATGGGCCTGCAATATTTATTTAGTCATGGTAATATAGTAAGCTTGATTGTTGGACAGTATATTCCCTCTGTCTTTACCCAGTGCTTACTGTGAATCAGTTTAGGGGGTAATTGTTATTGTGGGTTATCATACATATTCTTTTCTTGACAAGAAAAGGTAGGGATTCTAAAAGCTAAATGGACAGGATTTTTTTTGTATTAATAATTTACAAGGGGAAAAAAGCGAACAGCATTTTTTACCTGTGTGAATAAGCTTATGTCGTTCCAAATTCCCTATGCTATTAAATATCCTTCCACAAATTTCACACGGATGGATATATCTGAAAAAAAACCAAAAAAATAAAGCAATATTTATATTCTCTTTTGACAGGCCTATGGTCTTCTGCAATCTCGATCTGTACCTATAAACTGTCTGAAGAGACTTACTAGAAAACTTCCGGGGGGGAAGAAGCATAAACAACACCAAAAGTTAAGCACAGCCAGGCAGTGCCATGCCTTCAACTCATGCATTTATTAGATTAAAATTCTTTACTTTATAAATCCAGGACTTTAGTCTTTTCTTTTGTTTCCTACTATAAATGAGGATCTAATTGTACAGCCGTGAATGAAACAAATAGTTCCAATGGCACCACTCACATAATGACCAGGAGACAATATGAGCCCAAACAATGTCAATGAATACCATATTTAAATCAAAAAGAAATTAAGGGAGGATTTTTTTCCTGGCATATTAAAACTGCACAAATAAAGTTTTGGGTATTCCAATACTTCTTTCTCTCCTGCCTACTAATGCCATTACTAAATGCTAATACTTGAAACAGCCACTGTAATCGCAAAAAGTAGTCTTCACATATGATTAGTTAAACGGATCTTACTTTTGCACATTGGGATCAGGCAGGTTCTCTCGATGAATGACCATGTGAGCGTGGTAAGTTGCCTTCAAAGCAAATCGTCGATTACAGATACTACAGCCATAGCCTTTCTCTTTGTGAACATCCATTATGTGTTTCAGGTACTCCTTCCCTCTGCCAAAGGTTAACTGTGGAATTGAACAACAGTGAATGCATGGGGGGGTGGGAATCTCAGGAAAAAGGTGACTAGTTAGCTTGCTATTGAGATTGACAGCACAAATAGCTAATAATCAGCAATTATGCACACATGGAAGTAGGCACCTGTAACAGGGACCCCTAGCCCTGTTACTAGAAGACAAGTCCACCCTGTTAAGGCCAGGACTTTTTGGGCACAGAATGCTGGTAAGGAAGGGGTTAAATCCTGAGCCTGGCCAGCTAGTCAGCTGACTGGAAGGGGCAGGCCAGGACTATAAAAACCCTGGGGAGAGCAGCAGTCAGCCCTGGCAGTCAAAGGGGAAGGAAGGAAGGAATGTATCCCAGAGCCCTATGAGAGGCTTGGTGAGTGGTCCAAAGGCTGAAAGAGGAGACTACAGAAGCCCTAAGAGATAGCAGCTGCCCCAGAAGCCGATGGTGGGGAGCTGAAGCATGAACCCAGCATAAATGTAAGCTGGCATGCAGCTTTCTTTGATCACTTTTTTTTTTTTTTTTTG